AAAAAAAAAAAAAAAAAAAATTATAATTTTGATGGTCTGTTTGGAAAAAGTGTATACTCCTAACTTTTTAGGGGGGAAAAAAGTAATAAACCTCTTAAGTTTTGGTGAGTCAACCACTTAAATGAGCTTTGAATACTATCCATCATGAATAATTTAAACCTTTACAGGTTGTGGTTTTTAGTTGCTTACTTTCTCTGCCTGCTTCTTATAATCCTCCAACAAAATATTTTTGATGTAATTGTTATAATAAGCCCATTGTGAGTTTAAAAAAATCCACCTTATTGCAAGCGTAAATAATAAACAAAATGTAAACTTTCTTAAATTGCTTCCTCACTTCCAGTCAAAGATATACAGAGAGTAGATTCTTTTAAAAGCATTTGGGTGCTAAACTGCAATTGATTTTCAATGGGTATTTGGTGTCTTGAATACCTTTTAGTAGTGTGGCTCCAGTTTATTTCAAGTAGTCAAACACATTGGTTAGCTGGTTGCACTAAGTAACAATGAGAATTAAAATTCAGGACCAACTTGGATTTGTGCTCAACAGTCAGATATTACAGTTGGTTTTCAGACATAGCAGAAGCTCTTTTTTTTTTTGCTTACAGTATCACTTGTTGCTGATGTCATTAGCACCTCATAGTTGTTGTGCCCCATAGCTTGGAATAATAATGCTGTAACCCCATCTGGTAGAATGGCTTGTTACAGCAGTCAGGTATAATCCAGCTTCCAGAGTGCCCGCATCTGCTCTTTCAAAACTGCAAGCAGATAACCAGTCAGTGCATTTGATGGTGTGTGTGTTAGATGCCCACGTTCTAGCGACAGAACCATTCTTAAGGATTCAGAAAATCCTGGTGCAAAACCAGGAAATTTGTACCAGAAAAAATCCACTCTTTAACATGGAAGAAGTTCTTGAATTGGACAGTCCAGAAAGTTTTGAATCAGCTTCTCTATCTTGATAGCACAGACATCAATTGCAGTTGGATGCTGGGCTTTATTAGTATCCACCTTGCAGTGATTCCAGGTTGTCACCTGTCCATAGTCATGTTTGGTCTTATCTTTCTTATGGTATTGAGTTTTTTTGGAGACTGCAACACACTTCCCCACCAAAGATCCTGTTCCTGTCTAGGATCTCAGTATGGGTCTCCAAAGACTTACAGAGCAACCTCTTTAGCTTTTCTTAGAATGCTTCCTACATCACCTTATTCATTCTCCAAGTCATTATTGCTTCAGTCTACAGAATGAGGCAGATTTTGGTGGTTGTGGCCAAACCTCTCTCTCTGAACATTTCATAAGGACACACACAGTGATAAGATATACCCCTTTCTTCTGGGAGCTTGTGGGCTGCATCTGACCCAATGATGGGGTAAAGTGTGGCCTGCAAGCTTCCTCTGGGTCCTGCCCCCCCCAATCACTCCTGCTGCTGTGACAGCAGCCAGAGTCTCTGGGCCAGGGCAGCATGGCAGGAGGAGGCCTGGTAAGCTCACTGCCTGTATGGCAGTGGGAAGACAGCAGTGGCTTGCACAGCAGTGAGGGGGGGAAGGGGAGGGAGATGGATGAGGGAGAAGGAGCTTTACATATTGTGGGGTGGCTCACACGGCGGCAGCAGTGGAGCTTGCGCAGCTCCAGCAGCAGCAGGGGGTCTCCACATAGTGCGGGGGGGGGCTCATACAGCAGCAGACAGGGCAGGCTGGCATAGCAGCAGCGACAAAGAGTCTCCGTGTAGTGGGGGGGGCAGGAGGGGATTAAGCAGCAACAGCAGAGGGTCTCGATGGAGTAGGGGGTTCACACAGCAGTTGCAGTCAGGATGCTTATATAGCAGCAGCAATGGGGCAGGGGGAAAGCAGCAGTGGGGGAGGGTCTATGTGGAAAGGGGGGCATGTGCAGTAGCAGCAGGATATAGTGGGGTTTTGCTTGTGTGGCAGTGGTTTAGGGGAAGGGGCTTGTGTTGCTTGCACAGCAAAGAGGACTATGTGCAGCCCTCATAGCCTGCAGCCATGACCCTGCAGCCAGTGCAGCAAAGTTGGACAGGGCTGACTTAGTAGATATATCCAGTACTGTATTTTGGTAAAGTGATTGGATTAAACTTGTTCAGATCATCTTTGGTTATAGCCTGGCATACAGAAGTCCAAGCTGTGCCATTTTAGAAAGTATCTAAACATATCTTGTATTAATTGAATGATAACACTCCCACCCAGTATTAAGACCCACTCCACTAGTGTCAGATGACAACTTCTGCTTGTTTCAGACTTGTCAATGTGACAGATTTGCAAGATAGCACCATAGGATAACCCACTGATTTTTGCCAAACACTGCCTTTTAGCAGCTTGATCAGATACCAAGTTCCAGAGAGGACCACTACAATCACTGTTTGACTGATGAAGCTGAAATCCCTATTTTCCCCAGGGTATACTGCTTTGTAACTGTCTATAATGGAATCCACAGTGACTGAGGCTTAACATGAAAACTACCATTGTTGTGATTCTTCAAGTTTTTGTTTAGATCACACATCCTGACCTCTACTTTTACATGTGTGAGACACTTTCAGGTCCAGTGGAATCAGCTGATTGTATTTCGAAGAATTATGTTTGCTGTTGGGAAAGTAACTGTTCTTTGCAAAATAGTTTTAATGAAATCACTTTGGATCTACAGCAAATATATTGCATGTTTTTTGTAATCCTGATTCTGTTCCTGAATTGTTCTAGTATTAAATTTCCTTGTAGAGTTTAAGTCAGTGATTCTCAACAAGAATGCCAGGGCACCCAGGGGTGCTGTGAGATCCTCTGAAGGGTGCTGGGAGATGTGAGGATATAAGCATAAACGTGCAGACTCGAGCTCAGTCCCTGCCTGGACATTCCCCTGCCCTGACTATAATAAATTAGTTTTTGAAATGGAGTGCCATTCAATTCACCAGAGTTATGGAGGGGTGCCTTGAGTCTACTGAGTGGGGTGCCTTGAGTCTAAAAAGGTTGAGAACCACTGGTTTAAGCACTTAGTTATACTAAACAGCTGATTTATCAGAATGTCCTGCTAAAGGAAATGAAAATTCCAGGGAGTGTCAATATTCTTTCCCTCCTGTTCAATCTCTGTTTTCTTTGTCTGCCTGCTAGTTTAAACGCTCTTCTACAAGCTCAGTATTCGGTGTTTCCACGGTAGAGAAAAACATGGAAAGTAAAGTGTGACACATTCTGTCAATTTAGGAATATGATTTTTCTATTTGTTAATATCTTGTTTGAGTATAATATAGTACCAGAACCAATGACACTGATCTTATTTTCCCTTTCACCTTATTCTCCCCCTTCAGTTCCTTCACTACCAGAGAAGGAAGTCCTGCAACAAATGATTTAGTCTTTTTAAGGACTTTAAAAGAAATGTACCTTACCATAACCTTTGCTGGTACTAGATTCACAACAAAATCTAACTTGTGACCTTCATGTGAGTAAAGCTGATTATAAACATAATTGGATTTAAGATGCAGCTTATTTAATACTGCCCTGTAAATTCAGTTTCCCTTCTTCACAGCTGATCAGCTGCAGCACAGGGCTTTAAATGTCCCTGAGTGTGGGGAGCCAGGGCTGCCCCCATGTGATCTGGCAGGAAGCAGCCCGAGGCCACAAACTGATATTGGGCACAAGGCAGTTGTGTCCTCGATCATGGGAGAGTGATCACCGGATCATCAGCATCAGAACTAGGGCCTTGAGCTGCTGCCTTCCTGATCCCTGAAACCATGCAGTGTCACATGTTCAATTTGAAGCTGGATACAAACTAGCCCCAAGGATGTTCCATGTTAAATCAGTTGTTTAGTTAAATGTGGAACATCTCTTTGCATCTTGGTTGCCATTTTATCCAGCCACATATTTCCTGGATGTGTGGCATGTTACAATTCATTGTACAATTAATGCATTAATCATATATGATAAATATAACATCTATCAGTGGCTGCAGTGTAGGACTGATTCTCAACCAGGGTGTCATGAAATTCTTTTAAGGGTGCAATGGGGTGCCACACAGTATTAACACTGTTACTTTTGCAAACACCTACACATTATACACAAGAGAAACCTAGGGATTTCAAATAGGAATCCATGGTGTATCAAAAAAAAGTCTGACCTATTGTGGTTTTTCTGAGTTATTTGCAACAAAAGAATTGCTTTTATTATTTTTCCATGGTCAAAAAAAGAGTGAAAGCTAAGACCTGGCATTTTCTAAGGGTGCCTGGAATCTAACAAGGTTGAAAACGACCAGTATAGGATTTATCATCAGTATTAGCAATATATTTAAACTAAGTGGTTGTATCTCAAGGTATGTGTAGTGGTATAAGTCACGATCTAATTTTGAAAGGTGTTCTTTTGAAACATAGAAACTAAACACCCCAAAACTCATTCTAGTGTTAAGCTGTGTAGTAACGTTGCTGCCACTAGTGCCTAATTCAGGAGCACATTGACTTTAAGTAGACTCATGTTAACTGTAAATTTAACTCAAAAGCTTATTTTCACATCTTAGTTTTTATTTAAATCATGATAAATAGTATATAAATATTATATAATTAAAAGAAGAGTTTCTTGGATGATAGGCTTTTATTTTACTAGCAAACCATATTGAATCAAAACTTTTAGCTTTTGTCAGTAGACATTAGAACTTCCTACCACCACTCATTTGAAAGAAAAGACTCCCATCTTACACTTGTTTCCATGAACTGTGAAGTTGTATTTCTTCAAAAACAATGGAATATTTTTAAAATATTGGTATTCAATTTCTATGTGGTTGATTAGAGCATAGTTGTTTAGTATCAAAACTGCAGATTGCACAATCCAAATTTAATAAATTAAGTTCTATTTGAGCAAGCATGAGCCAAGAGCCATAAAATGCCTCTTTGTTTTTAATTGTGTCTGTTTAGTTGCTTTTATTCTGCCATTCCTCTCATCAACAAAACAATATTTGTAGTCTATTGTAGTTCTAGAATCATCATACAGTTAGAGAGAAAGGTCACTTTAATTTCAATTTGCAAGTTGTCAGCAACACTTTCAGTTAAATCCTATTGACTTGCTAAATGAAACTTTTGAATTAGACTTTGGAAAAATTAAGAAATGGAATGCTTTATTTCAGTTTAATTTCCAATGTTAAGTATATAATAAATGGTACTGGCTTGACCTTCGAAAATGTGAATCTAGAGGTAAGCTTAGACACTGCATTTTTAGCACTCTCCAGTCCAGTTGCTACTAAAAATAATATCTTTAGTTCAAGCTGATCTGTGGTGATGCTGATGAGCCTTTATTATTAGTATGCTGGCTACTATTCATTTCCTTTTTGTTCAGAGGATGGTCATTCAAGGCCTTCTGGCATATTGTAAAGGAAGTACAATAAATGATTAAAGGAATTAAAGCTTTAACCACCTTATTTCCATTCCCATTTCCTTAAGGCTTCTTCCACTTTCTCCTTCTCTGGTCTTCCTGTTGTTGTTTTTTATAAAAGCCTTCACTTCCTATTGCTATCTCTAAAACTAAGAAATATATCCTGGATGGTACATGAAATTGCACTGTATCTTATCTATATTTATATTTTGGAAGTGCTAAACAGTGATTTGTGGCCTTCTTGCATCTTGAAAGTTCATTGAACATTGTGTGAGGGTAAAAGCTTTATTCTTCTCTTTGTGATGTCCTCTGTTAAATGTGTTAAAGGCTTCAGAAAACAAAATATTTTGTGGCATTCATTTGGATTCCCTACCAAGGGAATGATGCACTCTAGAAGCTGGCTTTGAAGTGTAAAACAGATGCAGCTTCCTTTCCATTTGTGTCAACATGGATACATCTTTCACTTCTCATTCAGCTGCCCTTAAAATAAATTACTTCAGGTTTTTTTAAGCTTCTTTTGGATAACTTTGCCAGAGTCACTAAGAGTACACACATTAAAACCAATACAGTTTTCAGTCTTTTGCAGTATTAAAGCACTTTCTGACTTGTTAAGGTTCTTCTCATCTTTTTTTTTTTTTTCTTTTTGAATAGCTGAATAGATAACAATACAGTGTTAAATACCTTGTGGACGTTCTGTTTGATATTGAACTTTGGATATCATCGCACAGTTGACAGAGTCTGGTCCAGGTGATAAAATATGGGATAGGCAGGGGAAACATGAGTAGGTTTCCTGTCTTTACCCCTGTTTCACTCTGTGACCTTGAGCAATTCACTTCTAGTGTTCTAGTCTTTCCTACTGTAAAAAGGGAAAGTATCCCTGTGTAAAAAATCATGAACTGTTACATTTGAAATGGTTTTGCATATTTAACATAATGAGATGTACATTTCCCATAAGAACAATACGTATTTTTAATATGTATATCTTTAAAATTATGCTGAGCAGCCATTTGTGGTTAAATGTTGAGTGTCTAATTCACGTTAATAAAACTCCATTTTTGCTTAAATGCATACATTAAGGCTATTCCATTATAGTAAGGCAATGTTCCCCAGGTGTCGGAGCAATTATTAATTAAATAAAATAAATTAAATTTAACTTTTGCCATATGTCAGTAGAATTCAGTGGGTAGAATTAAAAATGATCAGTATTTTAAAACACTACTAGATAATTATTTCTTACCTCTCAAGACCCGAGTTCAAGTTCAATACAAATTCATGACCTCCTGACTAAAAACTCAAAGCAATTTAAGAAACATTGCTTTGGTAGTCAATGTTGTCATCTCCTCTTTTAGAAAAGAGCTATAATTCTAACCAGCTTTGTTGGGTATATGTTTCAGTTCCCTTTTTTTTTTTTTTTTTTTTCCAAGTCATTGTACACTTATGCATGTATTTTGCAAAAGATATAGCAATTTAGAATAATTGTTACTATTTTCCCAGTTCATTTATACATGTAAAAAAAAAAACTAATAAAAAATTAGGATGATGGCTTTATGGGAGAGATTTTTTTTTTAAAATTGACATGACAAATGAGTGAAAATCAGATTTTTTTTACATGAATTGTGCCATGTTGAACATTAGATTAACTAGTTTGCAAGTGCTCTTCAATACTGCTATGCTATTAACAAGTAAAATATATTTAAATATTTAGAATTTGAAACAGAATAACCATTTTTCCTTGCTTTTAGAGTACCCCCATAAATACGGACCACAAGGAGGTTGTGCTGATCATTCTGTGTTTGAAAGAATGCAGAAGTACCAAATGACCGGTGTGGAGGACCCAACGCAGGTACAGTGCAGATTTTAATGGACTGCATTAATAAAAAGAAACTAGCCTTTGCTATCTCTCTTCCATTGGTCTTCTGGTACACTTTACCTTCTAAGGTAGTGGTTCCCAACCTTTTTAGACCACAGAGTAGAAGTGACCGTGGACTGGCAAACTCCAGGCCGGAAGTGACAGGCATATTGTGGACTGGCGGCCAACCCTTTTTTTACTTGGTAAAAAAGGGTTGGCTGCCGGTTACTTCTGGACTTCTGGTCCAGCAGCCAGCACTTCTGTGGACTGGCAGCCAACCCTTTATGGCCTGGTTCTGGGCCGTGGCCTGGCGGTTGGGAACCTCTCTTCTAAGGGATCCATAGTATTGCTACTGGCTTTTCCAGCTAAACTTAAAAATTAGTATCAGGAAAAATAATACTGTGTGGCAGGAATGGGAAGAGGTTGTTTGGTCTATGAAAGACACTCTTCCCATTGCCAGCTAATGATAATGTCTACAAGTTTTGCTATATGGTGGTCCCTTTGTACCATTCCATCAGGAAGGCATCTGAGACCTCCACATGTGGCAAAATAAGCAGAGAGACTGAAATAGCTAAAAGGGGTTAATGAGCCTTATAATGCCTCTGGCATGAGGTGAAGGTGTGAGTTTGAAGTGAACTCAGAATTTTCTGTGCTTGGAGCCATATAACTTTGGTCCTGCTAATTCAAGTATTCCTCATGAGAACTCTGTATAGTCCACAGAAAGTAGGAGAGAATTGCCGTCCTTGCTTTCTTTAATTAAATACTTGGTTTCTTCTTGCCTCACCACCTACAAATAAAAGCTGCATGCAGGGTATCTGATGGGTCCTATAATACTTGCATTGTGAGAGACACTTTTTTTTTGTGGAATTTGAAGATTTGTAAGTGTGGACCTCTGTTCGTACAGACTGCAGCAAGTTGGCAGGAAATAAAAAAAATGTTATACCAACTCCTTTGTTCTGTTGCATCTTGTGTACTTGTCAAAACCTGTATCTGGGACTTGAAGGATCTGGGGTGGTACTATTCATTTGGAGATATCACAGCTAAGACTTCATTTATATATTCAAGTGAGTTATTACCATTCAAGATCCTTTCAATTAACAAACAGAGAAAGGAGCTGCAGAAATAGTGACTAAGGTTATAGTCATTTAGCAAGACACCGATTTAAAAATAAATCAGTTCTCACCAGAAGTAGTTCAAGCAAAATTGTTATTTAGAACCCTAGGATGATTCAAGCAGCAGCAACACTGTCCCTGACCCCTTGTCCAGTCCTGGGTCTCCCTGGGCATTCCCCAGCCACTTAAGCCATCCCAGGGAGACCCAGGCCAGTTGACTCATGTGAGTCACTGCCCTCTATTTCCCCATCATCTCCCCCCCTTCCTTTGCATGATCCTAGGTTTCCCTCTGCTGTGGCTTGAAACATCCTGGGGAGACTCTAGACCGTACTCCTCACTTAACGTTGTTGCGGTTAGCGTTGTTTCATTATTACATTGCTGATCTATTAGAGAACATACTCATTTAAAGTTGAGTAGTGTTCCCTTATAATGTTTGGCCACATCCTGCTAGTAGGTAACTGCTGTGATGTAATTGGATTTGCTTAATATCCTTTTACTTAAAGTGGCATTTTTCAAGAACGTAACTACGACATTGAGCAAGGAGTAGCTATAGTTCTTGCTTCTGCCATTTTTGTAGGGCAGGAAGATGTCCTTTTCAGCTGGTGCTTTTTAGCATCTGCTAGCTGATCATTGAAAGCCTCTCCCCTTCCCTGGCAGAGGGGAGGGCAGGCCATTAATGATCAGGCCCCCCTGGGGGTGGGAGAGCCACAAAGTGGATTGGTTCTCCTGGCTGGAGAGCTCATGACTGTGTAGCTTTTCAGCCAGAGGGCTGAAACATCTGTTCAGCCACCTTTTCACCACATTTTTTTGGTACTGGACATTTTTGGAACTCAAATGCCAGTCTATAACCTCAGTCCTTTTTTCTAAAAGGTAAGTTCTTGAACACTTTTTTTTTTTTTTTTTTTTTACTGTTGCTTACCATGTGTATTATGCCTTAATTTGACAGTTTTACTGTCAATGTTTTCAGAGTTTTAATGTCAGTTACTTTTATCCTCGTAAGTTAGATGACTCAGTATTGTGAACAGCATTGACATCCAAATCTTATTTACACTGGGTTTCAAAATATTGCCAGCATGAATGCAGTTGAACCAACATTAGGATATTTTTCAAAAACATTTCTTGCATTGGGAAGAGATAAGAGACTGTTAACCAATGAACAGACTTAGGGCAGATGTTGCTGGCAGTTTCTGCTCTGCATGGTAAAAATAGTAAGTTTATGCTTCTTGGCATTTCTTTCATTCAGAACGTAAGCACGTGCTGGAGTGTTTCAGTTTGTTCAGCTATCTGACTCTAGGGCAGTTATTATCTGAAGTAATAATGTTGGTTATAGGGAAAATTTGAGCTTTAAGATTTTTGCCAACTAGATTTTTGTCATTTATCCATGGATCTCATGAGGTCCATTCCAGCCCAACTTTCTTATGATCTTTGATTTCATATCATTACTTAGTTCTTCGTATGAGTTCTTAGGTGTTAGGGGCAGATTTCCTGTGTTTGAATGTACCATAACTTCTGTGTTCC